GTGCCACCATGCCTGGCCCTGCACTTTATTTTACTTCAAAACTTTGTTTTGTTTTTTTTTCCTGTGTGCATCTAAAGACCAAAATCCTAATGCTGTCTTTCAGAATTTACTTAGAAGAATGGATTTCAGACCACACTCCTCCCAGCTAGCCCAAAGGAAACCAAGAACCAAGGTGTTTGTCTCAGGTAAATCTTTTATTGGTTCAAACTGAGACAAACATTTTTTTTCAAAGACAGCGGCATAGCTACTGTCACAAGCTACTAATAGTTTATTTTGCATGAAAGAATATGCTACAGCTCATGCTAGTCATATTTTCAATAGCATTCTGGAAAGAGTAAAGATATTTCCAACTGTGTCAAACACTTAATAAATAGTAAGTTCTACTTTTCTGCCTCGAGTGAATAAGTGGTGTCATTCAGGAAGTGGTGAAAACCGTCCATTTCTCCAACAACCATCAGCCCGTTTGGCCAAACTTCTCAGCTATCTTTTGTAGTTCCAAGTCCATCGCGGCCAAGTTTTCCAGTTCCTTTTCCTGGAAAACAGAAAAGTGGAGAAATGAGATTCTGGGTCGATTTATACTGTAGGAATGACTTCTAAAAAATGGGCCGAATCTGAACTGATGACTTTTTCTTAACTGTACAAAAAAAATCTACTGCGAACAAGCTCACTGGGTCATGTGCTCTTGTGACCTGGGCACCTGACCTTGATCTCTTAGAACCTCAATCTGCTCTCCACCCAAGATAGTGAATGAATGTGGGTGTACTTGAGAATTAGTAAATCAAAGTGCTGAAAGGCAGCACATTCATATTCATATCTTCCTTGAAAACTATGAAGATTAAGAAGAATGCTTGACATTGTGTGTACGAGATGTTTTAGGGCTAGGGATGAAAGGCAAGACTGTCTAATAAGATAAGGGTGGATTCAAGCTTGTATCTTCCCAGTTGATACTGGAGAAATGGTTTTGAATAAAAGTATGGGTAAGGCCTGGCTCGGTAGCACAGTTCCAAGAGACATTTGTGAAGGACTGGATGCCCTCCAGTTCTGGCCCATTCTTATAACTAAAGGTAAGAGTCAGGCTCTTTATTTAGGTATAACTGTAATGTTGGTACAGTAACATGACATTATACTATTATAGTTTGAGGACTTATAAGTAGAAAAGAGAATTTTAGGCACAGTACAGGCTATGTGACTTACCCAACATCAGTGGCTCTCAAAGTGTGTCCTAAGAACCCTAAGCATGCCCCCAGGAAACTACCCAGAAATGAAGATTATTGGCTCCCATCCAAAACTATTGAATCAGAAACTCTGGGGATCAGAAATCCCTGCAATTCTGATGTACTTCAAGCTGGAAGCACCTACCATCCAACATAATCTTTAGGCAAAGATGCTATTCAGGTTGCTTTGCCTTTAGGCGAAGATGCTGTTCAGATTGCTGGCAGGCAGCAGGTACTAGACACTGGAGGTGTACTGTGTGCCCAGGCAGCACCTCCTATTGATTAGACCCCAACACAGCAATTTGTCAAGCTTTCTAAGCAAGTTGAGAAACACTGCAGTAGAGGTGGGCCGGATGGAGGTTGGAAACCAACCATATGCAATTATAATGTCACGCACATTCTCACAGTGGCTTTTCCCACCCACGTCTCCCCACAATCAGACACATTAAACCTGACACCAACCTTGATCATCGTAAGTTAATTTTTAGCAAAAGTCTCACACTGTACCTCTTCCTCTGTCAGGACCCTCTGGTTGGCCCTATCCTTTCCACTTTCTGCCTCCTGGCGAGGCCCCATCTGCTCCTCAGAGTCGTAGAAGTCAGGAAACTCGGCTGACTTCTTCTTGTAGTGGAGGAGCTGGTCCAGCTCGGCTACTCCGTCATACTGCCCTTTCAAGTCCAGCTCAGGAGCCCTGGCAAAGCTTCTCTTCTCAAACCCCCAGTTCACGTCGTCAGAGAAGGGCCTTCTCTCCCACCAGTCATGGTTGTATTTTGGGAAGAAGTTCTTCTCAGCCAAGGTCAGCCTGTTTTCATCTTCACCCTCAAGAAAACTGTCATCCACACTGTCTTTTTTCTGAAAATCGCTGTTCTTCCACTGGAGAGGGTCAAAGTAGGGGTTGAACAGCACCCCAAGCCTCTTCCTCCTTTCAGGGGTGCGATAGGGGGCATACTGCCTCCCTTGAAGCCCCACTTCCTTCCTGCTATCTTCAGGGTCTAGCAAGTGCTCCTGCTGCGGTTGCCACTTCCCTTGGCCCCCTTCTTCACTGTAGCTGAAGTAGCTTCTCTCCTGATCTTGCCATTTGCTCTGTGGATGCCCTTTTGCCTGGTCCATCTGGCTTCCGTGAACACGGTAGTGTCCTTCACCCAAGAGCCTCTTCTCTTCTCTGGTGTCACCTAGCTCACCTCCCTTACCTCTGTGATGATGTCCCTTTGTCCCCTCACGACCCCTCTCTCCCTGGCTTTCTTCACCATATCTGTTCTCTGTGTTTTCAGGCTCTGTGCTAGGGCGATTTCTCTTGTATTCTTCCTCGAGGCTCTCCTCACTCTGCTGGGAAGGCCTGTCCTCCTCACGTCCTCTGACTCCATACTGTGGCCCCTCCAGGGTTTCGGGAGCCTGGAAACCTGGATAACTTCTCACTTCTTCCCCATAATCAGGCGCTTCCGCCGAAGCCCTGTAGTGGGTTGAATGGTGGCCCCTCTTTTCCCCCAAACTGGCCGTGCCTACATCTGTGTCCTTAGACCCATCAAGAGCACGTCCCCTTCCCTCAGTTAGAGGATGCTCTTCTTGAGAGGACCTATCCAGCCAGATCCTCCCATGGTGGGGACTGGGTCTTGTGCGTTTGTCCACTTCAAAAGCCGCATCCTCCTCACTCTCCTCAGAATCTTCCTGGCTCTGGGCGCCTTTGCTAAGCTCCAAGGGGTGTTGCTTCTGGCTCCCCGTCTCTTCTCCACTCTCCTGGCTGCTGTGCTCCCTGCTATGTGTCTGCTCAGAGAGCCCAGCAGAGTGTGCATCTGCTCTGGCCACTGACTCTTCCTTAGCCGCACCCTGGTTCCTTTTGTTGGGGAAGCCGTTCTGTTTCTCGCCTGGTTCTTCAAAGTGTTTCTCTTCCCCAGCGTACTCTCTGTGCCCCGCTTTGGGGTCCTTATCGCCTTCTTCTCCCTCCCTCTCTTCTCCCTTGTCCCTCTCAGAAGGGAGTGCTTTCGCTCTCTTGGACACCTGTCTATCGAAAGGGTGGAGCCTCTCCTGGGGCCCCCCTGCTCCCTCTCGGCTGTGTCCTCCTTCCGTCCACTGCTCAGTGTCTGCCTTTGCCTGGCCTTGAGTGTCCTCCCCCGTGGCTCTGGCTTCTTCTTTACTGGCGGGCCGGCGGGCTAGAGAGGCATCAGCTGGGTCTCTTAATCTTACTTCAAACTTTTTGTTCTCATTTTCACTTTTCTCTTCATCTTTGACTTCTTTCCCACCTATAATAAAAATATAGGCGTAAGTTTAATTTAAAAAATGCTTGAGGTTCAGCAAGCACCAGCCTCCAGCAATCACTATAAATCCTGAGGACCCTGGAATAAATAATATAATAAAGAATATACTCAATACCGTTAAAAAGCCTATGCTTTGGAAGCTCCTTGGCTGAACTTAAATCTAAAAAGTTCTCTGCATTTTTAATTTTCACCAGACCTAGCCAGCAGCATCCTTTGGGATTCTCTGAATTCTGAAATCCAGATATAATTTTATAAAATATTAGAATTTAGAAACAGAAGATCTCTTATGCTATCCAGTTCAGCCTCCTCTTTTCGCAGGTGTGAAAGACACGGAGTCTTGGTATAACTCAACATGTTTCCTTCCATATTTAAGTAAGGTGGAAGAGTTAGCATTGTGTGAATAGCTCTAATTATAATCCAACTAAATAACATTAAGTAGCCAAAATAGGGAATATTAAGATCCAAAGGAGGATTATCAGATTTTATCATCCAGTCAACTGTGTAGACCTTGTCCTTCAGTAAATGATGGTTTAACTTAGCCCAGTTATGTGCGGCACATTTCATTCACTAATGAACCATGTCCCACACCATCACATTAAGTGGTGATGTCATAGCCATGCAAGTTTCTGTAAGTGTACTCGATGATGTTTGTACAACAACAAAATAGCCCTAATGATGCACTTCTCAAAATGTACCCCATCATCAAAGGATGCACGACTATAACTGGTGACAAGAGGGACAGGAATGGAAAGGCCCTTTTTCTTCCTTCACTCAGGTCCCACCCACTCCTTATGTTCTTCAGTGCTGAGGATAAATGTCAGTACACTGAGCACTGTGCTCCATGCATCAGCAGTAAATGGCAGAACTGATACCTTGCTGTGCTCTTCCATCTTTTCCAAATGTCAATAATTCCTTCAAAGAGCTAGGCTGCTGACACTCTCTCTGTTGTTATTTGGGGGGTGCCTAGATTTCAGCGTCTCTCACTAAGTGCAGACAGAAGGCCTGAAGCCAAGGTCACTGGCATCTCAGGCTTTGTATCAGCACCACCCATCATGGAAGCTACTTGCTCTCTGTGGCTGTGGAGCACATGAAGTGTGGCTGATCCAAACAGACATGCGATACACACCACCTTCTTAAGGCTTCATACAAAAAATATGAAGTTTCTCCATAACTCTTTGTACTGATTATATGTTAAAATGTAACATTGTGGGTCTATTGTGTAATATGTTACATATGTTGGATACATAAAAGATACTGAATAAAAATGAGATATCCTATTGACACTAATTTTTTAATTTTATGAAGTGTGGCTACAGACATGCGATACACACCACCTTCTTAAGGCTTCATACAAAAAATATGAAGTTTCTCCATAACTCTTTGTACTGATTATATGTTAAAATGTAACATTGTGGGTCTATTGTGTAATATGTTACATATGTTGGATACATAAAAGATACTGAATAAAAATGAGATATCCTATTGACAC